TGTACATGGAATGGAATCATGTGCTTCACATTTCCCTGAACCAGGCACATATTCCACTGTCATGACTAATTCAACTGAAGTCTATTTGTTCTCTCCTTTTCTTTTCTCTCTCCTCTTCCCACAGAGAAGCTGATTAATGCAGAGGGTACTGCAGGGCTGAAGCCAGCTGGGCTAGAACCTTTGATCAGATCTGAAATGGTTCTTCCCCCTGCCCCAAGATAACTTTGTTTCCTCTGCCTTTTCAGCACGTAACTTATAAAGCGTGGTCTAAAATTATGTGAGTGCTAAAAAAAAAAGTTAAAATGCAAACCGAAGAAAGATTTCCAATGGTTGAGTCCACACAGAAAAACATATAAAATGAATGTCAACAGTGGGTTTTGGACAAACTCCTTAAAATATCCTAATTTGCTTTATAAAAGAGTTTGTGCAGTGTCAATTCCGTTTTCGTAAAGATTCCCAGAAATGTACATTTAATATAGAATTTCCATTGACACTCATTTTGTCCACTGCAGGACGGGTTTCCCTGCTATTTCTATTGTCTAGCTTTACCTTTCTCAACCTCTTCTGCAGTACCTCATTTCCTAGAGGCTCCTTACCAACTCCATAAACAATGAGTGACAAATTAAATGGAGATAGATTAGTAGACACTTTAGTATCAGAAAAGAAACTGCAGGAGAAACTAAATTTAGCTCTGAGAAGTAGGAAAATAAGAAAGGAACAGTTCCAGGTGAAGATTGAAATGTGCATGCCAGACTACAAAGGAACAGACACCCAGCAACAAAAGCTTCAGTCAACACCAGTGGGAGATTCCCAGTTCACTTAAACAGTAATATTGTCAGAACCCAACGTTCTGGGCAAAATGTCATAGCAGCGTAAAAAGGTGCTTTTCACAAGTAGAGCAATTGTTCCTCTCTTACAGATCTTCATAGTCTTGAAAACAAAGGATGAGAGAGAGAAAGCTGTAATATCTAATAAAAGGACTGGGGCACCAGCAGATTTTTGGCTGGCTGGCTAATAATAACTTCTTGCTTCTTGCTTCTTGCTGCAAAAATGCCCTATCCCTTAGCTTCCTACCATGATTCAGTTCCTTTTTTTTTTTTTGCTTGCATCAGTTCACTCTCCATTCAGTGTCATCAGCCTACTAATTCTAATTGTCCTGTCTTGTCCACAAGAATATTGAGTATGCCAGCTGCTTAGCTCCTTACTTAGAAAGCCAGAGATCTTCAAGAAAGGAACGTAGTCTGTACAGGGAATATACACCACGGTGAAGAGGTGAAGGGGAAGAAGTGAACCTGACAGAGTGATGCTCAGAACAGGAAACCAAGGATGATACAATCAGACAGAAGCATGGGAACATGAAAGTATGAAAGTCAAATTACTTTGTTTTTTTTTCACTCATGTAAACAATTAGCCTATCAGTGTAAGGTTACCTCTGGTACTTTCCATCACATAAACAGGCTGTCTCACAGTCTGGGAATGATCTGGGAATCATCTGAAAACCAGATCATTTGAAATAATTGTGCCAACCCTGGACAGTGAAGCACTAAGAAAATTTAGATTTGTGAGGAAGGGAAGGTTTTGAGCTAGTCACACTACAAAAAGATATTAAACAATGACCCAAAAATGCATAGAAATTGGAGAATGTGTCAGAAGATGAGATGTAAGACAGGCTATTTGAGGTGAGAAACAAATCAACATGTTTCTAAGATCTGGAAGGATACAATAAGCAAAGTATGTTGCTGTCTTAACCACAGCAGGATTTTCAGTTCCTGGCTACCTTCATCAATAAGGATTCTGCTAAAAGGAAAGAAAATTACTCATCAGATGTTTTTGGCAGCAGGACAGAGGTTATTCAGTCATAGGGTCACGTGCAGTACAAAGCCATTTATGACATCTGCAGGACAAGGATTTTATTGTGGTTTTTATATTGATTGCTCTAAAAAATACAAAATTGAATGTAACTTTTATTTAGAGAGTAACACATACATGCACACAGGCAGAACTCTGGGAAGAGGTCTTGGACTGATGTGGTGTAATTCAGGATTTGGGTTAAGGTTGGTTACATGTTTCCATATTTGTTATTAGGAAAAGTAAGTGCCACTTAAGGACACACTAGGTTTGATACAAAGACAGAGAAAAAAATTTCTTCTCCAAAAAGCATTAAAGCTTTGGGGTTTGTCCAGTTATAATACAGAACTTTTTTTAACACATTTGAAGTTAGACAAGCTGAAGCTTGTTTCTCACAGGCTTAGCAGCTTGAGATTTCTAAAGGAATCCTGGACAGAATGTAAATGTACATTTACCCTACTTCACTCCCCTCTTATACAGTGATGGGGGAGAAAGATCATTAAAACCTAAGCACATAAAACTATCTGCCTGTCCATGTATACAGAAGAGCATGCTCTGATTTCTCTCCTCATCTAATCTCCCCTGGATCCTCAACAGCACACTTTAGCATTGTCATTTTTTTCTCTGTTATTTTCTAACAAATATATTTCCCAAAGTCTGGTCTTCAGCAAGATAGCATTGATTTGAATCCTGAATGTAGATATGGGTGAACTGAACTCATTTTTCTTAGACATGTGAAGAAAATTAGAAACCTTTAATTTAAACTATGTATAACAATAGACCAGGCGAGCCTGTATTGCTTTGCTGAACCACCTCATTTAGATTATACTAAAACTTTGGGATTCATTCTTGTATATATTTGGTTTTCCAAAGAACACCTGGACTGCTCTTATCCAGAGGCTTTAACTCATACAGTGCTTGGTCCTTTACAGAAGTCATGAATCTTAATTATCTTTAGTTTCCATAATAGTAGCAACCAAAAATCTCAGAAATTGCTAAGGGCACTAGTTCTCATCTTTTTATCATCATCTGTGATCTGATGTCATCATGTGAGATGGTAGTGAGGAAAGAATTTTCTCTATCCCATAACGCAGCCTAGTGTGTTAGGGTTGAGGTGAGATGTATTTAGGTCCCTTTTAATAGTGGACCATCATCTGCCCTTGGAATAATTTAGTAAAGGGATTTGCTTGATAAATTTTTATAAAGTTGAGTGTTTCAAGAATCAAATTCATTTTTCAGCACAGACACTGCAGAAGATGGCATGCAGAAATCAGATATGTGGCAGACGGATGTTGCACACACCAGCCAAAAATGCATCTATTTGACTGATGAAAAGAGACCTCACTCCTGTGTGTGCTTTGTCAGTAAAACAACCATTTGTGTTGTTGATGCTATATGAAAATGTGAAGTTACTGCCTGTAAAATGCCGAAGTTAATGCTTGTCTGAGAGGACATCAGAAAATCCATATGTTTTCATCTCAGGCTTTATATAATCTGTTGTCAAATTTGTAAAACGCACTGCTGATGGCATTTTGTCAGCTGTGAATACTGTAGATATAAAATTACATCCTAGCCCCACTAAAGTTGGGTTTTGTCCTTATTTACAGTTGATCAAGCCTAGTAGGTAGACTACACTTGAGCTACACCACACTCCAGTAAAGCCAGTGAAGTTGCATCAGTGTAGCTGAGAAATGAATGTTCATTTATCATTCCAGCACGGGCTGTCTCCAGTCATTGTTTTCATCTGCTGCTGCCTCTGAGCCACCAGATCTTTGTGCCTGAGAATGTTTGAATCCTTTGTTTTCCTCCCCACCTAAACCGTATCCAATGGGCAGCATATTTTCCCTCAGATCTTTAATATTGATTAGGTAACTGAATTTAAATTTTAGAACTATGAAAGTTTGGAAACATCTGCAGACATTGAATAAAGTCTGTTTTCTCTTCCACAGTCTGCGAACAGCTGGAATCCTCAGCCTGAAAAGCCGCCTTTGTTTCCCAGGTTTCCATTACACATTTTTGTACCACACATGCAAACTATCCAGGCCTGTGCAGGAGGGACAATTCTTATTTTTGTGAAAGATGTTTGCCATTTTCCATTCTGCACTCTTCAGACCTCTCCTTGTCCAATAAATGTTAAGTTGTTAAAAATGTCCCATTTTTCCCTCTACGGCTATATTTTTAGTGCAGATATTAGGCCAAAGTTTGATTTTGCACCAAATTTAGTCTGTCACACACAATTAAGTTCAGCAAAGTTTCTCTATATTTGTACTGAGGCATGACATAAACTTCTTGTTAATCTCTTCCTCCAAAGCTTTAGAACAAGTAGGGCATGTATTAACCATGATACCCACAAATAATATCAGTGGCATTGGTGAAGAGCTGTATGTTCCTTTTTTCCCCTCAGATTTGTATACATAAAGTATGCTAGGTGAAGATTTATAGACCTCACTCTTCAATCTTTTATTGAGCATAATTCTTGTCTTGATATATGACTTCATTGATGTTCCTCTAATTTTCCATGATTAGGCCTATCAAAAACTGGGTTTAGGTATTAGGGATTAAGAATCAAAAACTGCATGTTGGGCATGTTGTTAGTGTATGAAATTATCCTGTAATTAAAATGTTTCATAGATAACATTTGGTTTGAGTCAGTAGTCTAACCCTAAATCCTTGGAATACTAGCAATGTCTGATCAATGTCTACCTTACTTTGTCCTAGGTAACAGAATTCTTTTCAGCATTTAGTACCTGGTTAAGGAATCCTTGAATACAGATAGAAATGTCTATGAAACTGAGTGATCCCCACTTCCTAGTGAGGCAGTATGGCAATATTTTCAAACCTGCTACTAAAACCAAAAGATCGAGGTACAATATGTACAATATGTAGACATTCTTTGTCCTTGCAGTTCCATGCTCAAAAGAAAAGGATTGTAGAAGATTGCTTAGTCTACCCTTTACCAAGGGCAGTACACTACTGCACTGTATTGTACCATACTTCTAGCTATGGCTGATAGAAAAAAATCCAGCTTGTACTAAAAATATGCCATGGAAACTGTTGCTTTCCAGTGTTGTGTATTCCAGGCTGAAATAACTTGATGCTTTGAAAAGTTTTTCAGTGTCTTCTCTGAATCTCTGTATTTTTTCTTGCTACAGTGCACTGTGGAGAACAACATACACGTCTGCTTTTTGCAAAGACTTCTCACATTTTGGAGATTGTGCCTTCAAAACATTTTGAAGTGGCAGGAAAAGAGTTCGTAGTAGTCAAGGTGTTTTGACTGAAATGCAGAGAAACCTGAATTTGAAGAACTGCCTTTTAGTGATTGTGTCCAGTGATACTTGAAAAGACCTGGAACAAATGTAAGTAGAGCATTTGTCTGTGCCATGCTTTTAGTCTGTCTTCTGCGCGGTCTGGAGAAGTTACCAATTCTAGATTGACTAGAAGGATTAGGGATAGACAGAATCACATGAACAGCAGTGTGCAAAACTGGTATTGAAAACTGTCTTAGAATCATGCATCTGATAAACAAGAGTGAGCTGAAAAGTAGTCCTACAACTAGGAATATTGATTAATAAGGTATGTCAATTTTTTTAACTAGACCACCAAAAGGAAAATGAGAATAGCATTCACTAATAACCAAACTAGATAAAAGAAAAGTTTTTTAGGTTTTAAATCTACGCCCACTGAGGGACCAGGTAATGGACAGGGTACTGAGATTTTTAAATCAGTATTGAACTAATTTTTACAGAAACACATTTCCAGTAAACCCTCACCTTTCAATCTGTAGACACAAACCATTAATGAAATTGACTGCTCACAGAATATGTTCAAGCACAGATTTAAAAAACAAAGCTGCTTCATTATTAAGTGTATTTGTCATATTAATATCACATTTGTCCTGCCCTTTCAAGGGTATGAGATCCCTGATTTTAAAGAGACCTTTTCAAAAAGACTCCTTGTTAGCTATTTACCTAAATTTAATTCCCTAAAACTTCCTCCTGTTATTTCTAGGTATTCTACCCTCTCTACGTCTCTACATTGATGGCATTTTTCTTGATCATAAACAGAATTGGATGTCTCTGGATTTTATTTTATTCCAGTGAAGACAAGAAGAGTGCAGGAGCTCAAATAAATTATAACTTTGAATAACACTAGTTATAAAAGAATGGCAAAGCTTCTTGGCAACACATTTGTGAGCCAGAGCCAGAGAACCAGAGACTAATGTCTAGTAAAAGATGTCAGATTCAATTTTTGCTGCCAATGTCTGGCGAGAAAAATCTGCTCAATACATGGTTTACCTCATATGACCCAGTTGGCCCTCAGAGAAAGGATGCCTAATTGTCATAAAGATAGTGCAGGTAAATTATAAGGAAAGCATGTAGTGCTTCCCTTACATCCTATTTCTTGCATATTATTGATTTCTGGATTTTAATACTAGGCATTTGTCCATAACAGTACTGTTAGGGGCTTATAGGAACTTCAGTCTGCTTAAAATAGTGAAATATTTGAGATTTGAATCATTGCTGGCAGTGGGTGCTAACCCAGTGGATTCAAGAGAGCTTCTGCTCTTCTTCACTGACACTATATCTCTTTGACCTCATTTTCATAAGGGGGGGAGAATTGCAAAGTCCTTGTGTTTCTGTGAAAAGAGTACACTTCCTTTCCCTTTGGCTTCCCCCAGTGGCATCAAAACCATATATTGAATCATACAGTGTTATTTTAAGGGACAGAACACATGATTTCTGTCAAATACATGAAGCAGAGCTAGCCACGTTTCAGCTCTTGTTCCAGAAAGCTGGGAGATTGTATGCAGGATTTTGGTGGCCTATTGCTCAGCCCAGAAGCAGCTGTGAGAAGGTACTAACCTGTACTAACTGTAGTGGAATGGCATGGGAGCAAAAATGGCTAGCAAGTTCATCTGATTGGGGCAAATTGGCAGTAACAGCAGCTCATATCCCAGAACTGTGACACCAGCACCACAGTGACATTTCTGAGTATATGCCTTAGATATCCCAATAAATTAGAGATGGTATTTTTAAAATGCCATTTCTCTCAGGCTATATAGAAGCTGTTCCCTCTACAGTAAGCTCAGTGTGCACAAACTCTGACAGCTTGGCAAAGGTATGCTCTCCAAAAAAGTCTGAAAACAATCTGAAGTCCCCATCTTTGCTACTTATTCCTGAATTATCTCCATTAGGCACTTCATTATCTTGCTAGCTTGATCCTAGAGAGGTCAATCCAATGACTATTTTTAAAAATGAGATACCAGAACACCTGTCTTGCCCTCCTTGACAAAAGGAGGAAGAAAAAGTGCGAAGAAAAATTCCGGGTCAAGGGCAAGACATCAGCTTGAAATTTATACCTACTTACAATAGAAATCTCAAATAATGTAAACACCACTTGAATTCCCTGAATACCATTTCATTACCATGACAAGACAACTCTAGAAAGCCAAGAGATGAAATCAAAGCACGAAAAGCATGCCCAAAACGAAGCAGAACTAAAGTTTGACCAGTTAACATTGACTGGCAAAATGTTAATCAAGACCAAGTTACTCAGTGCTCACATTGGTCAGCAGATTACCATTCAACAGATCATCTCTCTCTGATGCCCAAAATGTGCTCTGCTTTGGTATCAGCAGTTTCTATGGTCATCAGGGACACCAGTCCACATTAGGGTTGCCCAGCACATTTAGTCCAGCTGGTTGGAGACATGCCATTTGAAAAAAAAACAACACAAACCAAACAAAAAACAAACAAAACAAACAAAACCCCCCCAATAACAACAAAAATAAAATCCAAAATAATCCAAAGTTGTTTTCAGTGCTTGACAAGATTTCTGACTGACTATGCAACTCCCAGATAGCAAAGACACAATTTTCAGTATATAAAATCTGATGAATAAGCTGTCCCCTGGGGTTTGGCTGGACTTAGTAACTGCCTGAGATCTGCTGTAATTTTCTCCACTTGGACTAAATCTTTCATCATATGGGATGCTTGAAAGTTACACAACTAAAAGCCATCTTTAACCACTCAAAAAATCAGGCTTGTTTTAGAGACTGAAAACTACAATTACATTAGGAGCATATGGGAACACTTGCTGTGAAAATCAGGCCGTTGTCATAAACGAGTGCTTTAGGCACACAAGTCTGGAATAAAAAGGCCAATAAACCGAACAGTATCATTAGTGAATGGCCCACCAGCAGCATTCAGTCAAAAGCTTGGAGATAACAGTTTGGATTTCATTCATTAAGATTTGCATGCAGTTAGTTTGCGCAGCTGCTGTTTAAGGTATATTATAGAGCAACAGTGAGAACTTTTTCAGTTTGGGTTCTGTACTTTGAGTGCATATTTTATGAAGCATGTGTTTGGCTAATTTCATTTTAGCAGCCTCTTTGATGACATGCATTTTTGAAACAGATGCTTATGCTGATGGAGTGACATGTTCCAGGGTTAAGTGGGTCCTCCAAGACGTAGTTCTGACTGCTTGCTACTGGGGTCACTGAACTACTTCAGTGGTTTTATTTTAGCTCCCTGAAAGACATCACTTCTCATTGCTTTAGCTTTTAGCAACATTCTTTTGCTTCCTGAAGACATTTTCTGACTTTAGCATGAATGCAGAGGACACTGTTCTAACAATTCAATCCTGACTAGTTTTCTTATTTTCAAGGCCATTGTAATTAACCATGTCCTTGGGTTACATATTGGTTCATATGCCAAAAACCAATACATAGCATCAAGTGAATATTGTTAGTCAAATTTTTACAAGCCAGAGCAATCTCCCAGTTTGCAGTCATCTCTCATGAAGAGATGCACACATGTCTATTCAGCACTTAAGAAAGTTTGTAAGAGAAGTCCAGCTGCCTACTGAAAATTGCCAGGGACTGATATTCAACTCACAGTTCAGTAATATTCTTATGTTTCTCGCTTTGTCATTTGATCTCTCAGTGTTTCAGATCCCTCTCTGTCTAATGAGAATACTACAGCTCTCTCATCCTACAGTCTGTTGTTTTAAGGTGTAACTTTTCAAGGACTGGGAGACACTCTAATAATATGGTAGGAAGTACCATGATTTTACTTCTGTCTACAAACTGGTCTGTCTATGCCTACGTATCTCCTCTTCTATGCATCTCCACTAGAGAGTCATGCTCCCTATTGAACATGACATTTTGAATAGCCATTTATTACGAGATCAGCAAACTTGCTCCTAAGGAGTCAAAATTGTCATTCAGAATCAGCACTTGTCTCCCTTCAAGGCTACAGGGAAACTTTACTATTTGCCTTCCAGGTATTTATCTATTCCTCTTCAAGTTCACCTCTTCAGGTTATGTTGTGTGAGAATAAGATAAGAGCAGATCCATGTAAGTCTGAGGTCCTTGTCATGGTCCCCTTTGTCACAGTATACAAATACTTCATAGTCCCTAGGATAGCTACCCTTTTTTCACTGATGTGAAGTAGGTCACAGATAGTACCCCTCTCACAAGTGACACTCCCTACCTTTTATAAGGTGGTTTCTGGCAGTAGATCTAGAGGAGCACTACAAAACAGTTTCCACGTTTTTAAAAAAAACAAAACAAAACAAATAAAAGAGTACAGATCAAGTGCATAATGTCCTTTTTTAGCTCTGAAGTGAGATTTAAATAGATTTTAGGTGCCAAGTCCAGGTGTGGACTCTGACTTTGTTAAGCATTCGCATCCTCTAGGTTTGCCAAAAAAGGATCTCCCAAGTACTAAACCCGTGTTTCTGCATATGCTCAGGACAGCTTCTGATTTGGCAAGGCTCATCCACCCCTACATCTGCTGTTCAAGTGTTTAATCTGATGTCTCTGGTAATTCCTATCCCAGACTTCTATTACAATCTAATTCGGGGATAATTTGTAAACTGGCATTATTTATTGCAGATCAAGCCAATTTATAGTGTTAATAATGCTACTGTAGGAACATTAGCAGATCTCCAGAGTTTCTTCCTGAGCAGTTAATCTGGTTTATGGGAAATTCCTGAAAAAACACGTATTTCTTCTACTCATAGTTGATGTCCAGACATAATTTTGGCTAAAACAAAGCATCTGGATATCCTGAGGATGTTTCTATTATCGTCTCACCAGATAGGCATTACTTTCTGTAGAGCGAAAATGCTGCAGAATAATTTGTCCTTATGCAAGTCAACAAGTATTTACTGAACCAGAAACCACCCAGCTACATCAGAGAAGACATAGGTAGAATACACTTGGAAGAGAAGGAGCATACAGTCATAGAAATGGCAGGTTTTCTGATCTAGAAGGCATGGAGCTTTGTGTCAGTTCTTCAGGAGATGAAAATGAAGGGTCAGAAAAGAAACAGAGGCATTATATTCCCATTTCCTACAAAAACCAATAAATAAATAAGTAATATCTGACATTCAGTTTACCCTATATTTGTTAAGTATGGTGATTATTAAACTAAAGCTATAGATTAAAGACTGGCAGTTTGAAATACACTCCATTAATTTAGAGAATAACTGGAAAATATTCTTAGTCCCAGCACCTGCTGTTGAATTCCCCTGCTTTTCTGTGGTTTTACTATTACATTTTCCAATTTAAAAAAAAAAGAAAAAAGCAAAGCAGACTAGACAGAAGATATTGACAAATGCCCAAGGTAAATAAACTGGAAAAATGGTAAGAAAATGATATATAACTTTCTATAATAGTAAAGGGAATATAAAGTGAATAATATTAAGTTAAGAGACAATTCTGATGAAAAAGGTAAAAAAATGGAATGGTGTTCCTTTTAAACAAATATCCAAAATGTCCCCTGAATCCTAATGGGTGAAAGCTTCCTGTGTTGCTTCAACACAGAATATGGAATATGAATCAATCAATTTATGCAGTAGATTAATTACACATTTTTAATGTGAATCAGATCTCACAGGTTCTTTACTTATAAATATCACCTTTATTGGCCCCATATGAGAGCTTGGTGCCAAGACCACCCAGTGACATGGCTTTACTTTGAAGGATGGAGGAAACTGTACAGTCTTAAATTCTCATGCAAACGCTGATTCTCAAATTCCTAACTTAAAGAATAGGAAGATGGAAACTCATAGCGCATTACAACAAAAACATCCTTTGCACCTGGAAGAGAAAAAGTCACTTGTGAAGTTCCCTTCTGGCTTCCCCTGTGCTTCCCTAGGATGTCTCCAAAAGAGGAAGAAAAAACTTTTATCTTAAAGGCAATTATCCAAAATCAATTACTTCCAGTTCAGGGCATTCTGTAGGTGCTTGAGACGCTGCATCATTAAATCCCTTCTGCTGTTCTAAAAGGGAAAGATCTAAAATGGGAAAGAAGGCCAGTACCATGTTAAACTACTTAAGAGGTCAAATAAAATCTGACTGCAGCCAGCAATGTTTGGATTCTTCCTTTGGCTCAGAGAACAAGCTGTACATTATCCAGTAAATGTGTACTCTACAAGGGGTCACAGGAAAAAACATCTGCCCATACTGGGCAGCTTCTTCGGTCCCCTCTTGTTGCCAAGTTCCTAAAAAATGCCCAGAAACATCCAGTCTGATGCATCAGATCCCTGCCCCTTCCTGGAGTGGTGGGTTCATGTCCACTCCAGGCCCCTGTGCATTAAACATGACATGGAATATGCAGAAAGATGGGCAAGAGCACTCATGAAGTGTTTGCTTGTCTTTCTCCTGACAAGGCTACACCTCTTAAGTTTTTTATCCCAGCTCGAAGGGGATTGTGGAAACCCTGAGATGGAGAGAGAGCTCCTCACTCCTTTGTTTGTTTGCCTCCAATTCACAGACTTAAAAATCAAGTATGTTCCAGCCTTACCCTGATGACAATTTGTCTACTTGCAAGAAAGGAGATAAGATTCTCATCTCAATGGAGAGCATAAAACCAGCCCGCTTCCACTGCATTGACTCTCAATAGAAAACCAGCAAAGCAGGAGGTGGTGAAACCTCCGTGGAGAGAGCATAGCAGCACAGGAAAACACCCCTCCCTACGTGGCATAGGGAGGGGTAGTTGCAGTAACATTTTCTGACCCATGTTTTTCCTGTGATTATATATTAAAATATATACATAGGCTTGTGTCTGTGTATTTGTCAGTGTTCAAAGGCACAAAATGTACAGCTTTTGTCAGTAACAACAGGGATGGACTTTCAAAAAAATCAGTTGTTCTGAAACACACTGAAAAGAAGAGTCACATCATAAACGTGGGGAAAACCTTTTTTGCTTTCATATACCTGTAGCTTTACAGCATCTAGGGCTGATTTTTGGCAGGGTAAAGCAAACAAATATAAGGAGAACTCCGCGATGCACCAAACATGGTGAACTTTATAGATACCTGCACTCAAGATTCATTTTTAGTGTTTCAATATCGTCTAGAATAGCAGTAATCTGCAAAAGGGATGGAAATTATTTCTCTCTTCTTTTTCTGAACGTGCTATCTACCATCCCGACTTTACTAAAAAAATTTAGATTGGAGCCGGCCTAAGTATTTGGCTAACACGCTGGCTTCCTGCCTTCACCTTGAGCTTTTTTCTTTCCTCTAGGCATAGAAAAACTCAGCGGTCTGCTTAAAAATGAAGAAGCCATGACACCTAGCGGTGAGTCAAACACCAAAACTTCTATTTCCTACAGGATTCGCACGTGTTTTCCATAGGCAAATTGTTCTCGGTCAGACTGTAACGCAAGAGATGTGGGCATTACCCTCATAGCTCCAGACATCAAGGCAGCCCCTCATTTCTTTTGCAGTCCCCTGCATGTGTGTGTGTGTGTATGTGTGTGTGTGTCTCTTGTTGCATCAGACTGCTGTGCCTCTCCACAGAGGCCGTATCACTAAGGCCTGCTGTGCAGCCCCTGGTCATGCTCCCTATTGAACATGACATTTTGAATAGCCATTTATTTCGAGATCAGGTTAAGTGCCTTGACTTTGGAGAGAAAGGGAGCATGGCAGAATCCTGGCGTAAGACCAACTGGGAATTTCAGACTCATTTTCTTGTCGAGGACTTATTCATCAAGGCTGTTTTTAGATGGTGACTCAAAAATGTATTGTATGGCATGCTGCGAATTCCTGGCAGGCAGCTTAAACTGACTCAGTTGCTGGCAAATTCTTTTGCTTTTGAAGACTACTCGGAGTCTGCCTTGGTCAGCAACAGTCTAAAAGTACATACTGGCTGTGAGACCATGACAAGAAGTCGCACTGAAAAGCAGTAAACCAGTCTAGACATGTGCAAAAAAATTATAGGTTCTTTCCAAACAGTGGCAAGCCTTGGAGATTTTTTTTTTATTTATTTATTTAGGGAAGCAGAACAGTGTAGAGTTGTGCTAGCAGTAACTAGGCTGCAATCACCAAGTGGCAAGATTTCTTGGCTTGTTGAGCTAACTGGCTGGGGACTGGCCATTTTTTATCACAGGAATGAGCTTCAGTGCAAGAAATTTCAAGTCAAAACATCACTGTAAGTTGTTCAGGATTCTGGGTGCATAGCAGTGCAGCCTCACAGTTTCATGTCCATATTTGTTCATGCTATATCAAGCATACTTTCCATTGCCTTCAGTAAGACAAACTCCTTCCTCCTCCTCTGTCTTTCAGAAGAGATGCGTGATAAAATCACATGTTGTAACCAAGAAACGGAAACTAAATTCCTTGAATATACATGATTTGCTTTATCTTAATATTTATTTTACCGCATGTCCACATGTATTAGTACCTGTAACTTCCCCAGTTTGCTGTCTTGGGTATAATTAACACTTCTACCACCTGAGTGTCTGAATATAAGGCAAGTGAATATAAAAACATCAGTTCTGTCCAAAATGTTCCAGTTTCCATCCCTTGAATCATCAGCATGTGACCTATTCTGTGCCAATATTAATAACCATTGCTCATGGCTTTCAAGCAACTCAAACTATTTAAAAATTAATTCTGTTTACAGTGCCTTCTAGAGGAAGTATTTTGTAAGAGTGAATAACTCAAACTGACTAGTGGCTACCCACAAAATATGACTATCCAGTAACAAAATGAATCATTTAGAACTTGTTGGCAAGGAAAGAGCATATTGTTGGAGAAAATATCAAGTGGGGATCAGATCCAGGAACTGGGAGTCCTAGGTTCTCTTTCCACCATACCATACATTTCCCATGCTGCTCTGACAAAGGCAGGCCTAACTGCAGTGGTGTAGGCAGCTTTTAGCCCCTACCACCCCAAATTACAGTTTACTTTTTTTACACTGAGCTGTAGGCTGGGGGGCCCTGTTCAGCTGTGGCTCCTAGAAACATTTGTAGTCATGGGATGGAGCCCATAGGCATGCCAGGTTATGCTTTGTATTTGTTTTTCGCTCTGTAAAATGGAGATGGCCACCAACTGATGCATGACAAGTTGTTTGAAGTCCCTGTTAGTGGCCAAGGGCTAGTATTACTTCAATCTTCACTGAAGAGAAACAACACAAAATGGAAAGACAATACTAATGCTGACAGCTCTAGAACCTGAAATAGGTAATGCAGCCATGGACAGAACCAGTGCAGGCAAAGTTTTTGAGGTGCCAAATAGAGAACATGACTTTGGGCTGTAGGTCCAACAACAATGATGTGTTTGATCATTCTCATGCCAGGCAGAACAGTCCTCTGCAGTCTGTGTTACATGGGTACACACCAGAACCTTTTCTATCTGTTGCTCTTGCATTTTCATGATTTCCTACTAACAGATAGGACAGAGATAGCCATGAGGTATAAAGTAGCTGTCAAAGATGCACTGAGGAGTAAATATCTGGATGATATTCACTCGCATAGGAGTTTGAATGCTCTTCTAGGATGTGTTTTTTAAGTTACTCTCTGTAGTGAGTGCAGAGGTGATATGGACACTGAATCCCCAGGGTACCACACTCCCTTGCATGGCTAAGCACTTTCTGCATCAATGCTATTTAATTATCCAGTAGCACCGGGATGTCTAAAAAGGCCTCTGGGCTGTTGACCGGTTTAGCAGAATAGAGGCATACTTAACTACCTAGAGCCAACAGAACCAGCTGCATGTTACTGTGTTTTCTGTTGAACCAGGGTAATATCAAAGCTCTTGCTATGCCATAAACTTTAATGGCATCCTAACAACTGCAGAATAGCTTGAATTGTGGGGGGAGCTGCTTTTCCTGGTTATTGTCTTTCTTGTGGACAAAACAATGACATGTTCTCTACATATGTATTTGGGGCACCTCTCAAGTCTACATCTCTTTGTCCTACAGCAGGAAGGAAAATTCACCCTTCCCCTAGTGATTGAGTGAAATTCTCCTACAAAACCCACAACCACTGTCTCCAAAGAGCAACAAAAATGAACACAGTGGGTTAGCACTCTAAAACCAGAAATACCCATAACCAACACTCTATGTCATCACATAACCTAGATTTCAGTTGAGAATTTGGGTGTTGTTTTAGATAAAAAAATACAACATGTGTTCATCATTAATCTTCTTGAACATTTGTTTGGCCAGAAACTTTCTCTGATCAAGTCACTTATGTAAACAGGTCTATGCTTCGGATCGCAGTGGTAAGATATTATTCCAAGTACTTGCATTATAAGGAATCTCTCCATAACACTAGTGAGATACATTTACTGACAGCCTCAGTATTGGTGTCTGTACCCCAAAGACTTACATGTCCAGTTTAGATTTCAAAATTTAATAAAAATTAAAAGGGGAAAAGCATTGCCTCTAAAAAATCTACCGTTTGTCCCTACTCTATCTGCAGTTTCAATATCAAACACTTTTGCATCTGCTTTGTAAAGAACTGAAAAGCTGTTTCTTCTTTCGTTATCAAAAGGCAGCTGAACACCCTTCCATCATGTAACTTGATACCATTCATCATGTAGTTCTTTTTACACGTACAGGACCATATAAAAAAAAAGAAAGAAAGAATGAGAAAAATAAGCTTTGTTTATTTAAGGAAAGTAAATGTTACATTTTGGTTGTGTCAGCTAGTTCTGGGTATAACTGGTGTATTTTTTTTGTTTGAAAATGTAGGCACATAAACTATCAAAAATTTTACTTGCAGAACATTGGTGGACTAAATTAAAACACACAATTTCCTACCAGCTCTTGCTCCCCATAGTTGGTTGGTCTCTTCATGTCTTTTTGTTTCGGACCAAAACAAGAACAGGCAAACGTTCTCTAGCTGTGTGTGAGCGGGGAGCAAGGCTCTCCTGGAGTTGTTTTCACTGCAGCTACTTACTGACTGTAAACCTTGCCCAAACTTCTTTGTCTCTCTTTCTGCGTTTGTAAAACATAAAATATATCTAAGAACTACCCAAGAGCCATACATACTTACGCGTTAGTGGGAAAGTTAGTTCTTCACAATCAGAAGAGTTAAGGCTTTGATTGCTTGAAGGTTAATCCAAGGCTTTAAACAGTCTAATAGCAATTCTTGTCCAAATAGAAGGAGCCCCAAGTTTGCAACAAACACAGACATTAGAAATATTTACCATTGAGTCAAAGCATTGAAGAGGATTAATCTCAACTGCGCCAATTCCAGAACACAGTATCTTAACTGCATTGCATATCTTGGACGTTGTCCTGAAACGCTTCCGAAGATTGTAGAGATAAAGAACTCTTGAGATATGGTTTTGTTTTGCTTTTAAATCCATAATTCAATTTACCCAGGACAATTGTTTTAATAATTTCTTACAAAGTCCTGCATTCAGTAGCTGGGAAAATGGTACAAAAAAGACTGTGTTAAGTGGCGTATAGAATAATAAGGAAAGTACAGAAACTAGAAAGGACAGAGTAAATGGAAAAAAGACAACTACACTGGCTCTTAATATTTTAAAAGACTGAAGGGATGAGAAGAAAATAGAGTTACTTTTGTAAGTGGAAAGTGAATTTGGTAGCTTTAGAAAGGTGACAGCTGGTATAAATGACATGGCTGCTTCTCCCTCCTTTTTGGCAGAAATGTACCCCTCAGCAAACATGCTGCCATTCAGCTGCATTTTACTGCTTTTAAATGCATTTTAAAGCTATATCTGCAATTCTGCAGAGCTTGAAACTAGACAATCAGAAATGCTGACGAACGAAATTAACCGAAGTCAGATGTCCCCTTCCAAATCCAAGACTATTAATGCGACCCTTTTTCCATTTGGATTTCTGTCCTAGTATACTGAACTGAACAGTTGTAAGTCTTCAATATACTGGGGTTTTTCTTCTGCCAAGTTTTGCTCTGCAACCCCTCCATTTATGCAGCTTGGCCTGACACAACCCTGTCATGACAAAGTTTCATCCAGAGATATTATCCAATTAGTATCTACAAGTGATTGAGATCCATAGAAGTCTAGATTGGGTGTTTGAAGTTGTTGGAAATTACAAAAATCCGTTTTAGTGTGTTACATAAACTTGTTTTGAAAGCAAAAAGAAATTAGAAGCAGATAGGTTGGCTCACATAAAACAGATAGTTAAAACAATTGTGATAGTGAATATTTGCAGCTATTTGGTCATGCAATGATTACGACAATGAGAAAAATAGGAGGAAATTTTTGTAGCTGAAGTCACCAAAATGTACTGTAAGTAATGGCCATGGAATGTGGTTGTCAGCTTTCATGTTGTTTATCTGAACAGATGCAGAGGAAAACTGATTTGGAAGAGCTAATGTCATCGTAGCTGTCATCTGAATCCCTCAGAGGGATCCATCATTACACTAACACACTTCTAATAGATCCGTGCTCTGGTGCTAAACCTGGATTTTGGCTGGATATGTCCAGGGAGAAAAACTCATTTGTGAGCCCTCATTTCCTGAGTCACAGCTTTGGAGTACATTCACTCTCTGAATAGCTTTGGGGACAAGCATGTTAAAAGTGCAGCAAATAAGGTCTTGAGCTATTCTTTTTCAGAATCTGGACAGCTTCAAGGCTCCTTCTTACAATTTGAAAACTCAGTATTCCAGATTTCATTATTCCTGGACTTCAAATATATGTAGAAGTTTAAGAATGCAAACAGAGCCAAACACCTCCCAGTCTGCTGTCAAGATAATTTTGTTTTGATACTGCCAAAATGTAACGTTTAGATTCTGGAGTTTTTATACTTTTGCTTCCAAAACCAACTTCAGATTTCCTGTCTTTCCTTCTGAGGTGGTATAATTTCCTTTCTTCTCTTCATTCCATCACTCTCAAGTTTCCATCCTGAAGAAAATTATGACTCTGAAAAGCTCCATAGTTCAGCAACACAGAATCAATAGAATGTTAAGTGTTGAAAGGGATCTTAAAGATCATCTAGTCCCAACCCCCATCATGGGAAGAGTGAAACTGTCACAAGAGGCCCAGTAAACTGATGTTGTAGAAATGGTCTGAACGTACCTGGATAATTTGGAAATAGGATTTTAGCCATGAAAAAACTTCTCTCTAATGGAAGGAAAAGAAAGCTGGGCAAGGACCAGTTTAAATATTCTTGGTTTTCTCTTACACATGATACATTTTCTTCATATTCTGCTCTGTTACGGCCAAAGTTAAAACTACTATGATCTTCATACCAAGCCTATATCTGGAGGATTATGTAAGTCTTCTGGTTGCTCTGGATGTTACTGTTTCAGTAAGTGGAGATTTACAACAGTTTTATTAAATTTCTGTTAGTCTCTGTCTAAGTTATGAAGGAACCAAAGAGTTACATAATTTCAGAAAGTGATTGGATAGAATATTTACCTAAGGTGCTACTGACTGTTATGCAAAACACTGAAGCGATGTCAAATGCAGACTGAGCAAACTGGCCCTGTTACTGAAACTGTTTACAAATGACTGCAGTGCAGGTTTAAAATGGTCAGTGCTCAAAATGGTCTTGGTATGAGACACACAGCATGGGAAAGGAATCAGTTTCCTCTTTTGTAATGGGGGTTATCTGAGTTTATTTCACATTTATTCTGTATAAAGTACTGGTACTAAAATTTAAAACTACTTGATGCTGCATTTCTAAGAACCTAAATGGTTGCCCATTTCTGAGTATCTTTTGGGTGTTAAAGGTGCCTGCAATCTGACTATGCATCCAGCTTTTGCATATGGGCCTGTTTCTCCAGTTGGCGTCTCTCTTAGTGATCCAAACCAAAATGCCTACTCCAGGGGTCCCTGTTTTGAGGACATTTCCATGTTAATATCTGAATTTTACTGCATGCTCTTGCCCACAGAGGCAGACAGCAATGTCTGTCTACCGCTCATAGTAAGCATTTTTTCAGTTTCCAGGAGCTGTGTCTGTGCTCAGAGGGAGCAGCCAGACTGTTCTCAAACTATGTTCAGGGTCACACAGAGGAGACACCCTCTTGGAAGCTGCCTAGCTCTTTATTCCTTCCATCAGTCTAAAATAAATGCCATTGAAAAGGTCTCATTCCTCTTTGTGTATGCAGAGACCATGGGAACACTTACAAGTCAATCTTTTTCAGATACTGCATACAAAATCAGAGGAAATAACAATGTTTGGATCTTTCAAGAAAATCTGAAGTGTCCAGATTTCTTTGGCAGACATTCCCACTTTGTTTTTCCAAGCTGAGAAGCATGGAAGTGCCCCTTTCACCTCTTTCCACCTCCCTGTCACTCATAAGTTTAAGGCTGATGATACTTGAACTGAGAGATAAAATTTAAAAGTGAATGGAAAAACACATCCAGCTGACCTAAAGGGGAACTGCATCCTCTACCTGCTGCTGCCTTCTTCCGCATGTTTTACCTTCTTTCTGCAGGTTGACTCACTACATTGTTCTGCCATTTACTTATCTTCTGTTTTCTCTGTGTGCACAGCAAATCTCTGATGCTCGTGGGACTGTTCCAAGTTCAATAAAATTTCATTTTCTGAAGATTATAAGATTCCTCCAACTCCAGTCAAGATCTTGAGCCAGAGGGAGGTCCAGTTTGCATAAAACTAAAGCTCTGCCACAGGCAAGTGACACATATATCTCATCAACAAAATTTTCAATCTGAAAGTGTTATTTTCTATGTGGGAAAAGTCAGCTTAAGTGACTATAAACTGCTGCTGAAATTTTAACTGGAATTATGCACACAGTCCTGGCTGGCATAAGCAGAAAATATTTGCACAGACATCCACTGTCCTGACCCACAGATAGAGTTCAAACAAACACTGATGGGAAAATTAAATTAGAAGTACAGGATATTGTCCTTCATTCTCTGCATTCAGGCTACTCCGATGGCAGAATCTGAAATTTATATGGCATTTTAATTGGTCATAAACAAACTCAAACTGATTCCAAGGCTGGATCTGAACAGATTTCATACATGAATATTTAATATTCATAATGTTTGCCAGAAGGACTATTCTGAATGTTGAAACTTTGCATTCATCTGCAAAACAAGGAAAGCAATAGAGGTAAACAGTGGAAACTTAGGCAGAATAGCCTATTAACATGCTTCACATGCTACTCTGTGCTGGGCTATGGTGATACAGTAAACAGTTTTTTACTCCAGAAATCCTTTATGAGGGTCTTGTGGTGATAACATACTGACAATGAATCAGACCCTGATATTTTGACAGTAGAACAGCACTTAATTTTCAAAGATACTGCCCATCTGTGGGCTTATTAAATCTAAATAAACTGCATGTCTAAGGTAATTTTATTCCTTGCATGACAAACGTAGGTTGCTTTTAATCTGATCCCTAAATAGACCTCTCCCCTTTGCATTTAGCCAAATATTTTGTTGTAAAACTTTAACAAGGGGAATGATGATTCACCTGAATTATAGCTATACATCTGCAGTAACTCTTTGCAAGGATGCTTGGATGTTCAACACACCCATGGGACGGCTTGCAAAATAATCCACAGGAATGTACATTAGAAAAACACAGCCATAAACATAGCAAGATGAAGGTTTGACTGGGAATTAGTCAGTTAAAGCAAATTTTTTTGCATTGAGCGATTAGAATCACAATTAAAAGGTGTTCTCTTCACTATGTGGTAGATGGATACGGCTCACATAAAAGAAATTGTTAGCTCTTAGGTCAGTAAGTGTATTCTTAACAATTCTTAACAAGTGCAAGCAGAAAGGGCAGATAAAGAGCCCGAGACCAGGTTGGCCTTGTATCACACATGAAGATTGATTGAGGCAGAGCAAGTGCAATAACAAGCATTTCAATCGTGCCCTAGGCCTTGCTAGAAAAGAGCTTTTAAAAGGCAACAATAGAGACACTACTGCTGATACAGGAAAACCCCAGTGTGTATCATCTGGGTCTCCCAGATGCAAGGCTGTGAACTTATGATGGACTGACTTGTCTATACCATGAGAGCACATGGGGAGCATTTCATTGTTCTGTTCTTCTGCCACTATTCTTTGGACTTAACCCCCACAGTAATTGGGCACTGGGCTGCACAGGGCCTCAATGATATCACATTATTTCTTTCCTGAACTATCATCACCATGCCCAGGTTGTTACTTTTCTTCCAGAAAAAAATTGTACAAGTTCTGCTTTTCATTGCTCAGAAAGCAGCAGAAAATGAAGACGATAAGCCTTAACAGCCCTAGCAGACACAACCTATTTGATATGCTATTTTTATTCTGCTCTCATGTTGCAATTAAAAGGAAATATTTGCCACCTCCTTCTTCCCAATTAAAAATCTCCATATGGAAGTTGACTGGACATGCCGGATAGCACTCAAAAAAAAAAAAAAAGCTATAACAAAATGTAGAGGGACTTCATCTAATATTGTCAAGAAGTCAAGTTGTATGGAAATAAAGGGTGACATTATCCAGGAAGATAGCAATACTGTTTGTCTACAGCACCAAAGCAGTACTCTACAGCTGCACAATTGGAATTTAAGGGATTCAACAATGTTTTTATATGAAAGAGTTACACATTAGATGGAAAATATAATAGAAAGTGGATGCACTCATTTGGTCAATGATTAGAGAGATCCCAGCTCTACAAATCACTGTACAAGTGATGTGACAGCTTTGCAGCACAGGAGTTATACTGGTCTTTGAGGATATCCAGGTTGTCTGAGCTGTTTCCATTCTGTGTTGTGGATGGATTCTATCTGCCATGGAGTTGCTGCCATAATTCCTATTTATTCTGGCTGTAGAAGAATAAAACACTAGACCTTTGTGGGACTGGGTCTCATTTCATGGAAGAAAATGCAGAAAAAACTGACCAAGTCATAAAATAGTAAAGTTGATTTGGAAGAGGAGAGAGTAGAAAAAGCAATTTTTTAGAGAAAAGGATTTTGGAGCACTGGAAAGCTGCTGTAGCAAAAAAAAAATTACCTGATTGGAAACTAGACCTTTGATAGATGAACAAGAGAGAGGATGGGCTCCTCAGAGTTGCATGATGAAGAGTTCTGTTCCTTCTGCTACATCACTCATTCATGTCATCTCCTAGTGCAGAAAGCAGAGTCTCAGGGTCACTGCTGATTTAAAAATAGATCTGCTAACCTGTGGTTTAATAACTATAAGCAAAGTGTATACAATTTGTTAAGATTCAGGCCAAGTTTAGTCATATTTCCACAGCACAGCAAATCCACCTACCCCTCTGGCAAGAAAGTGAGAGATCATAGAATCAAGAACAAACATGTACTACTGGAGGACACACATTACATTTTTAAGCTCAAATGCTTGAAAGTTTTCGCTATAGAGCAGTTAATGATGGGCCAAAGCCCCAAAGGTTTTTTTATCCTCCTTCACCAGGTGTCAGCTTCAGCTGCAGATAAACCAGGATCCTAACATAAGCTTCGTAGATAAAGCCAGCAAAACATGCAAAGTTGAGACCATTCCCACAAACCCTGGTAAATTCCTTACACACAAGACCACGGTGCTTCTCAGTGTTCATTTTCCTTTTCTTCTGTTTGACAAATAGCAAAAGCATCAAATTTTTATATTTGTGCCTGGGAAATATAGTTGTCTCTATAAACCTGTGAACTTGGTCCAAGAGTCAAACTTTTATACCACACAGCCCTCTTATCTCTGCATAAAATCATCGTAAGCTTCGTTCTGTGTCAAAAACTATGCTAACAGTCGCAATATGCAGACGTTTTTTCTCTGAAAGAAAGAAAAAGTAAGAAGAAAAAGATTTATTGGTTTACTGTAATTTGTGGAAGAAGCTTCATCATTATAGAAGAGCCTTCATCTTTCATAGCTAGGGAAAAAAAGCATCATGCTCTGTTTTCAGATGCCTCCACTGGGAGGCATCCCTCAAACGCTAGATAACACTGTCAGGCGTAAGACAAACTCCAATCTCCGCCAGGAGTGGAATTGGAATTGAAGCTCAGACATTAGGGTTTATAAAGTTACTTGAGAAAAGCAATGACAATTAGAAGATTTATGTTTAAAACAAATCTTAGAATTTATGAAAATCTGCAGGAGTAAGGCACCTACCTAAGGTTAAATATATGCTCAAGTACTTTATTGATTTAGGACCACAGCTGGGAGGGAAAAGCTTCTTGTGGGAGTCAGCTCAGCCTCCCAAATGTCTGTCAGTGATGAAATTAGAAAGCAGTCACATTTGCTACTATTCAGGTTCTATTCTAAATAACCTGCGCTGACTTGAGGTTTACAGCAAATCTTGCTCAAAATCATGTCTGGCTGGGGAAAGAAAGAAGTCACTTGTATAAAATCAGGGACTCAACACTAAGAACTCAACTGTGAAAATCTACAGGAAGATACTGCTTCCTTATAGTACTAAACAGATCATTTCTGTAGTTACTGCATTAGAACTCTGCATAGGCTGTTCAGCACTTTGCAAACAGCATAATAATTCCCCACAAGTAGCTACAAGATGAACTAGATCACACTGAACCATTTACATGCACAGCAGTTGAAATCTCAATGGATATCAAAGCATTTAATAAATTAAAGACTGTGATAAGCAGACGGGATAGTGAACTGTGTCATAGATTTCAACTATTGTAGGTTTCAGAAAATCTCCCACAGCCTCTTCCAGGAAGATGAAATAGCAGATAGGTGGTTAGAGTTAATTCCTTCTAGTACAGTATCAGCTACTTAAACAAGTTAATGAATAACTTAATGTTGATTTCAGCCCTCTTGCAAACATACACACATAGATCATCAATATTAAATTGATGGAGGATCAATTCCAGTTGCAGAACAGCAATTTATTATCTGATATTGTATACAAGCAGAATAATCTCCTCTCCTTAGCTACATAACTTTCCCCTCTGGCTGGAAGTTTGTGGGTTACATGAGGTTATATTTCTTTCGAGATACAGCTGCAAAGAGAAGATTTTGTTGATGCTGGGAACACAAACGATGATCACTTTTTAAGATCCTGAAAGAGGTAGGGAAAGTGGTCTGTTCTGAAGTTCAAGTAATTACAAAAAGCCCCAATTCATGAAGAGCTGTATTCAGCTAAAGAATTAAGACTGTATTGTCTTCATTCTGTCTTAACTTGTTAATTTTCTTATACTACCCTCATAGAAATAATGTAGTTCAAGTGAATGATCAGAACCCAGTGAGCACAGATCAGCCATGGATTAAAGATGAATTAAAGTTTTAATTTAATTAAAGGTTAATTAAAGACTGTGCATAAAGAAACCTTCAGATCAAGTTCCTATCATCTTATCTGAGCATGACTATTGAAGTAATTTCTACAGCTTTACTTGAAAATCTTTATATATAACATCAATGTAGCAAGTCCTCTTCAAGTCTTTTCAAGGTGCCAATCCACTGCCTTATTGATACTGCTTTTCTCCATCTCTAGATTTGTCAGACACAATTCATTCCTTATACAGCAGAAATAGTAGGTTTTGTCAGCTGATATTTCTCCAGATGTTTTGTAATCTCACATTTTATTAATGTCTCCAGCATATTGCCTGTAATTGTTTGTCTCTTGCCCTTCCAAATGGCTCTCCTGCTGACTAACAGGTCTCACCAGCAAGGTCAGCCAGAGAAGGCACTTGGATAACTGTTCACATGTCACATGCAGTGTATTTTTTCATTCATTCAGTGACCACAGTATTTTCAATGATGTATTTCAAAAACATATATCTACTGGCACAAAGCCTGCTAATCCAGTGGTGAAATGGGAATGAAACAGTTATAAATAAAAAGAGAAAAAAGAAAGAGGAGGAGATATTTCTCATACCTGTCATTTGAAATCTCATCTTTGAAAGAAAATCTCTGTCTTACAAATACTCTTTTGTGTCTAGTGTGTTTCAAGTTGCTACTAGTCTTCAGGTTATGCCCTGAAAGGAGCTGAAACTGTAGAAGGAGCAAGATGTGACAAGAGAGCTGGCAGGAAT